AAGCCCCAACTATAAACACAAGCACTGAGTATGTGTGTGCACACATATATACACACACATGCACACTCGTGCACACAAATACACTCGCACAGGCACACACATACATGCACAGACACAAGTGCACACATGCACACGTGCACGAGCACACACATACAGACACGTACACGCATGCACACGCGTGCACACTTGCACCACACTTACACAGACCAGATGGAACTATGAGCGGGCTCTGACTGTGCACACGGCCAGGGGTGCGCTTGACCCCAGGGTTCCCATGGCCGGGGCGTAGGCTTCGGGTGATGCTGGGGAGCCAGGTACAGGTAGATTTCACCTCTCTGAGCCTCCCTCAGCGTTTAAGTGAGGGCGTGTTCTCTGCAAAGGCGTTCGAGGGGTACACGCGATACTGAAAAATGTGGGGTGCTCAGCCAGCTCAGAGGCACCCCTGCCTCTCAAGTTAACACGTGGGTGGTAGGGGCAGAGTGACCTCTCACTGGCTGCCTGTAACCCACCCCTCCATCCCCGCCCTCTCCCCACCCTCCCTGCAAGCCTCATGGCTCTCCTCCAGGTGCCACTCCACCCCTGCTCCATGGGTCTGGGGCCTGCAAGGGTCTTGCTCCCAGTCCAGTGCGCCCTGCCCGGGGCCCCACGCCCAGCTGGGCAGACCCCGGGGAAGTGCCTGAGACGTGATGCATGTGTGGGACGGGAGCCTTACCCAGGCCTAGGTGGACCCCTCCTACACAGCTCCCCAGGGGCAGGGGCCGGTGAGAGCACTGGGGGTGGGGGCTTGCGTGAGGGCCAAGGCGGGAGGCACAATCAAAGCCCCTCCCGGGGCGGCCCATGGCGGGGGGAGACCCGGCTCACCTCCACCATGGGCTGCCGCAGGGTCCTGAGAACCTCCTCATCCTGGGGTCCTCTCACCACGGGGTCCACGTCAGCCCCAGTCTGTGGGTTTCTCTGTCCTGAGCTGCTCCCCGTGGGAGGGGCCGGGCTGGGGATGTTTCACGGCCAACGCAGGGCCCTTTGGGAAGACGTGGAGTTTCTCCCAAGGCCTGAGTGTCTGGCGCCCCCACTACACGGATGGGAACACGAGCCCAGGGGCAGGGGGTCGGGGGACAGAGCCTGAGGCCGAGTCAGGGACGTCCTCCCCGCACCACAGCACTGTCCAAATGGACATGCGCCAGCCCCTACACGCCCACACATACCGAGAGGCAGTGCATTCTCACTAGCCCTGGTGGGAAGGCAGCTTAGAGAGGAAGCTACCAGGGAGGTCTGCCTGGAGGAGGCGGCGGCCATTGGGCCTGAGGGTCTGGCAGGATGTGGGCAGGGGAAGGGAGCCGGCAGGAGCAATGATGCTGGTTGTGGGAGGGCCCGGAGGTTGTCAGACGTGAGTCTCACTGTGACCTGCCCTGCCAGCCCCACCCTGCGTCCCCCGATCCTGTCCACAGCAGCTCCAGGCCTCTGTCTGACTTCCAAACACCCAATTATCTTTAAGTGCATCCCATCGACTGGGGCAGGCGGGGCTCCAGTCCACCTGGTCGATACTTGCTCATGGCTGGTCCCCCTCACCCGTCTGGCTGCTCCGCACCGTCGGATGGCCTCGTTAGGGCTAATTGCTCTGACATTTCAGGGCTGACAGTGCGGGCGGGCTCTCTGGTCTGTCTGCTCTTCCTCCCTGCCTGTCCCCAAGCGTCCGGGACCTGTAAGTGGGCAAGGCTGGTGGGCAGGCTGGGGACCCTGAGCCCCACTCGGGGCCCCCCCTGCATCTGCCAGACACGTGCACTCTGCAGGGGTGGAAGACAGGCCTCATTGCCCCTGCCTTCTCTGGAAGCCACAGGCTCAGAGACGCGGCTGTGGGGACAAGCAGTACCCAGGGACAAGGGGCCCAGGGACTAGTGTGAGTGTGTCTGTGTGTGGGTGAGTGCGTGAGTGTAGGGTGTGGATGTGTGAGTGTGTCTGTGTGTGAGTGTGGGTGAGTGTCACACAGATGTGTCACATAGGAGCTGGCACGAGAGCTCAGACATGCCGCCTAAGACCTGCCTGCTGCTGGAACCACTGGAAGTGACCTCTGGCCCCAGATTGCCGGGGAGAGTAGCCACGTGCCCACCCGCCCAGGAGCCCACTCAGACTGAGAGATGGTGGAGGCCGGAGCCCTAGGAACTGACAGAGTCTCAGCGGGGGTCGGGATCAGCGTGAGGTTGGGAAGGGGGGCTGCGCATGGCTGGGCTGCCAGGACTGGGTGGGGGGCTGGGTCACCAGGACTGGGTGGGGTGGGAGGGCCCACCTGAGCCCTGTGCCCAGCAGGGTGGGGGCAAGGCCAGGTCCCCTAGAGCCGCGGAACAGGCCACTCCTTGGGCCACACCAGGGCCCGGTCAACTGTGTCAGCTGGGCCTGGGCCTGGGGAGAGCAGGAGGGGGTGCCCCCCGGTGGGCGAGACACCCCGAGGCCCATAACGGAACCCAGGGGACACAGAGAGACCAGACGAGTCACACCTCTGCCCTGCAGAGGCAGTGCTGATGCGGGCGAGCACGCTGTCATCATGGGCTATTAAACCCTGAGAGGTTCTCCTCCACATTGGAGGAGGTGGTAGTGAGAAAACACAGAGGCCGCTCAGCGCCTCCTAATTGCCTGGGGGTGTCTGCAATTATGTGGATGCTGGGAAGGGAGAGGGCCACGGGGCGAGGGGCAGAGCATGAACTCTGGGAGCCAGGTGCTGGCCAGAGCCCTCAGCAAACTCTCACTGCCCTGGGCAGGTACAGGGGACAGGCCTTGGCCACTGCCCCTGTCTCCGGATGCCACCCAAAAGCCCCCCACCTGTTGTATTCATGGGCCTCTGTGCCCCTGACCTGGTGGACTATGTACTGAGCCAGGACTTTTGGCAGCAGGGACCCTGCTCCCCAACTGGTGCCTGACCTTGCTGCCAGAGAGCCTCTCCCCAGCTCCGGGCCCCCAGCCTGCCCTCCCCCTCGTCTCTGCCTCCTGGAGCGTTGCCTCTGCCGGTCCACCCCCCAGCCACTGGGACCTCAGATGAGCAGGGCGGCGGGGGACGGGAGTCCCGCTGTGAGAGCCTGGCCTGGGACTTGGGCCCCGCCCGGAGTCCCCAGAACCGTTTCCAGGGGGAACTTAGAATCTTAGTGCCTTATGCAGCTTCCACCCAAGCTCGACCCGGCTCAGGTAGAACATGAATTAAAAACAATATCTGTGTCGGTGGAGACATTTGTGGAAAGGTTAAGTCCACATCTTCAGCCCTGGCTGGCACTTCCGCGTGGTATTTCGTAGAGAATTCCCCCTCCTTCCACCTCTGAGCAAACACGCAGGGCTGGGGGGCAGGAAGCAGGGTGGGCCTGGATCTGTCACTAAGGGGTCCCAGGCAGCCCACCCCAGGAAGGCAAATTGAGGCCTTCTGGGAACCTGTGGGGCCTGAGAGGAAGCAGGGGAGGCCGGGTCAGAGCTTCAGTGGGCTGGATACCCAGGGGACCATCGAAGATCAGGGGATTCCTACAGGCTGGATACCCCGGGGACCATCAGGGGTCGAGGGTTCCTACAGGCTGGCTCCCTGGGGACGATTGGGAGTCAGGGGTTTCCTATAGGCTGGCTCCCTGGGGACCATAAGGGGTCGGAGGTCCCTACATGCTGAAACCCTGGAGACCTTCGGGTGTCAGGGGGTTCCTACAGGCTGACTCCCCAGGGACCAACAGGGGTCAGGGGATTCCTACAGGCTGGCACCCTGCAGACCATCAGGGGAGGGAGTGGGGTTTTGGGGGGTGTGAGAGGTGCTCAGTGGGAATGACTTCCCCGCGTAAGCCGCTTCCTCCCTGGGGGCCCAACCTGGAGGCTGTGGATCAGGGCACCCAAAGTCCTATCCCAGGGTGCCGTGCCTCCCCTCCCTGTTTTCAGGGGGGCTGTGGCCTGAGGCTGTCCCAGCCCACCCTTGACGCCCAGAGGGAAAAGGGAGGACCTTTCTGTGGGAAGAGAGGAAAACTTTCTTGGGGGGCCAGAACTCAGCACACACACCATCCCAACCTCATTGCCAGCACGGGCGGGGGGAGGAAGGGGGAGTGGCCTCAGGGTGGGTGGGCAGAGGAGGGGGCCCCTACTCTACTCCCTCTCACTGGGATGGGCAGACCCCAGAGTGACACCATGGCCCTTCCCCTGGCTTTCTGGTCTCCTACTCCACACTGGAGGGACGGTCCCTTCTGGAACATTCTGGACGTGCCTGGAGGTCTGGGCACAAGGGCCCCGTGGAGGGGACGGGGCAGGTCCCCGTGGAGGGGACGGGGGGGGTCCCGTGGAGGGGACAGGGGCAGGTCCCGTGGAGGGGACGGGGGCAGGTCCCCATGGAGGGGACGGGGGGAGGTCCCGTGGAGGGGACGGGGGCAGGTCCCGTGGAGGGGACGGGGGCAGGTCCCCGTGGAGGGGACGGGGGCAGGTCCCATGGAGGGGACGGGGGCAGGCAGGGAGTGACACCCCCGCTGATGACATTCACATCCAGTGGAAGCTCCCTGGTGGGAGGGGCGCTGTGGGGACATTTTGTGAAGTGAAGAACCTTCTGGAGAAGCAGACAAGTTGCCTCCTGACCCACGAGAGCTTCTGGTCTGCTCCTTGGTGCCCCCAGGCCGTCTGCTGTGACGGTCCAGTGGCTGCCGGCATAGCCCCGCCTGTGCATCCCAGGCCTCCACATGGGGGTCTGGGCCTCTCGCTGCCCCCAGGCCCCCTCAGAGTGCAAGTAGCCCCTCGTCCTCGGCTCTCGAGTGTGATTCACAGGCCGCCGGGCAGACCCGCCTGGGTGTCTGCGACGCGGATGCAATTAGATTTAATGGGACAGAGCCCTTTCTCGGCCGCCTCTCGCTCGCCCACCTCGCCGCCCTCAGGCGCAGCAGGCAGGGAGAGGAGGCAGAGGGGGTGATGCAGGAGGAGGGGGGACCCGCAGGGGCCTGACGTCAGCCCGGCCTATAAGAGGCTGCCTGGCAGAGGGCTGTGGAGTTGGAGCTGGACCCGCCACCATGCCCACCCCCAACACGGCCGCACCGCAGGCCAAAGGCTTCCGCCGGGCCGTGTCCGAGCTGGACGCCAAGCAGGCCGAGGCCATCATGGTAAGAGTGCACAAGGGTACCTGCTGCCGGAGCCGACGGGAAGCCCAGGCGACAGGTGCCTCGGTCCCTCTGCAGGCTGGCGGTCAGCCCAGGCTCCGGGTCCACCGCAGCTCTGGGCCTGGGGGGGTGTATGGGGTCTCAGAGTCCCTTCATCAGGGCGCGGGGCACCCGGCTGCCTGTTTGTGCCTCTGGGGGGCGCATTCTGTGTGTGTGAGTGAGTGTGTGTGTGTGTGTGACAGTGTATGTCCCCAGGAGTGTATCTCTCGGGTGCCGGCCCCTCTCGGGGTTTGTTGGGTCTCTGTGCCTCGGGTTTGTCTCCCGAGAAGTCAAATTTTCCTTTGATGCTTGGAGGCAGGAGTCGGGAAGAATTATCCTTTGAGAAAGGAACCCCTGTGAGCAAGACAGCCCGAGGTCCTGCCTGCGGGCCCCGATCCCCCTCCCTCTGCCCTCTTCCTGCTTGTCCCCACTGCCCTGGTCAGCAACAGGGTGAGGTAGCTGCTGTCTGGGGAGAGAGCACCCTAGGCCCTGATGGAGCGGAGGATGGGGCATGCCAGGGGGCATGGGTGTGAGTCAGACAGTGATCCAGGCTCTGGGATTTCCTCCACCCACCCGTTCACCCATCCACCCACCTACCCACCCTCGAACCCATCCAACCATCTATCCATCCACCCACCCACCCATCCATCCACCCACCCGTCCATCCGTCCATCCATCCATCCACTCACCCATTTATCCATCTGCCCACTCACTCACCATCTACCCATCCGTCCATTCGCCGTGTATGCTGTGTTCCCATGCGCCAGAAAGAGAAAGGAGTTTCTCTTGGCTCAAATCCCACCTCTTATGCCCTGCTACCTGGGGCCTCGCTGAAGCCCGTGGAAGGTGGCCCGGCCTCAAGTACAAGGGGGCAGACTGGAGTCGGGCCCTGTGGTTAATGAGACGCAGGAGCCCCTCCTCAGCCATGAAGAGGAGCCGCCTTCACCTCAGGGACAGAATCATAAGCTCCCAGCACACATGAAATGGACTTCTATTTGTAGACCTTTAAGGAAAGCACTGTTTGGGTTATAGACATTTAATTTCCTCGTATTTTCTCGGGAGCCCCTCTGTGGGGTAAAGACCCCCCACCAGGTTTCCAATGCGATGCTCTCCCTGTGAGGCCTGCCCACCCTGTCTCCCAGATTCCCCCCAGCCTGGGGCTGTGGCCCTGGCTGTGTCCACCCCCCAGGTGGGGCTTCTCCCACTCCCCCAGCCCCGCTGTTCCAGGATCCCCAAGGCCAAGGGCAGGAACTCATTCCTCCCTCGTGTGGAGGGATCAAAAACTTCTTACGAACCCAGCTCCCGGCAGGAGCGCCGGCTTGCATTGGCCCTGCCTGGTCAGGCTGGGTGGGGCTCTGGGCTCAGCAGGAGTCAGGGACAGACAGATGACCAGCCGAGGCTGCACCCCCGTGAGGTGCCCTGGGACCAGAGCTTTGCGTGGGGGGCAGAGGAGTGACTGGCAGCCTGGCGTGGGGTGGTTAGGACAGGTGGGAGGGTGGCGTTGACAAAGGCCAGCACCCTAGGCAGCGGGTGAGGCCTGGACATGTCCCCTCAGCTGCCAGCGAGGGAAGGGCGGACGGGGCAGGAGGGCCACAGCCCCCAAGTCCTGGCTGAGGAAGGGCCAGGAAGGGATCACAAGAGGGGCCATTTGGTGGGACTGGAGCAGGGGGGTCAGGGAGGAGACAGCTAGCTCCCTGACCCTCCCCCGGCGCTGGCCGCTGGCCATCTCAGGGTGGAGGGAGCTGCCGTCCTGAGTCACTCTCTTCCTGTCACCTAATCCAGTTAGGGCTGGGCCTAGGGACAGAAGTGACACAGCAGCTGTGTATGGGGGAGCAGACGGCCAGAGCCAGGCAGCCAGCATCTTCCCTGGCTCCGTGTGAACTCAGCTCCCATCCCAGCAGGCCAGATGCCCCGAGGACACAGTAGGCACCCAATAACGAGAGCTGGGCTGGGTGTCCCTGCGTGTCTCCTTGGGTGTCCCCCATGTTTCCTGGGTGCAGACCCCATCACGGCCAGCAGGAGGGGCCCGTGGGGTGGGGCTCCAGTGGGTGAGCAGGAGCGGGGTGCCTGTCCCCACAGTCTCCCCGGTTCATCGGGCGGCGGCAGAGCCTCATTGAGGACGCACGCAAGGAACGGGAGGCGGCGGCGGCGGCCTCTTTGGAGCCCGGGGACCCCCTGGAGGCCATAGCCTTCCAGGAGAAGGATGGCCAGGCTGTGCTGAACCTGCTCTTCTCCCTGCGCGGCACCAAGTCCGCGCCCCTGTCACGTGTCATGAAGGTGTTTGAGGTGAGGTCCGAGGACGGGCTGCTGCCATGAGGAGTGTGTGCGTGCACACACACGCATGCACGTGTATGCACCCACATGCACACACCATATTTACACATGTGTGCACACAAGTGCATAAACACACACACATATACATGCAGCACATGTTGCGTGTGAACATGCCTGCAAGCCCACGCGTGTGCACAGGACCTGTGTCCACTCCACGGGCCATGTGGCACCCAGGCCACTGAGGAGAGGCTCCCAGGGGCCCCACTTAATCACCCAGAGCTGAGGTTTGCACACCAGGAGCTCTGGGGTAGCCTGGGGACCCCTCTCCACACCCTTGACGGTCTTGGGAACACCCTGAGCTCATGCCCTGAAGCTGGGCCACGACCTCCCTGCCACCCACTCCCGTGACTCTCCCTCAGTCTCCCTCTCCCGCTCCTCTGCCCATCCTATGGGTGGGGGGTGTGAGTAGGCATGGCCCCAGGAGCCAGCTGGGAAGTAGGGCGCAGGGGCTGTGTGGCTCTTCCACCCCCGCTGGAGCCCCAGGCTAACATCGTCACTGATCACATTAGCTGCTTTGACCACACCGGGCCGGGGTGGACAGTGACCTGGCTCCCGGCAGAGGCTCCCAAATGACATTAGAGCCGAACTCCTTGCCAGCTCCCCATGTGGCAGCACAGCCCGAGGGGCTGTCACCAAGGAGACACCCTCGTTGCTGGGCGATGGCGCCGTGGCGGCGGGGGACGCAGTGGGCCTCTGCACCACTGCCCCGGGCTCACAGCTGCTGCTCTTTGGGGCTGAGCCGCGCCCTCACCACAGTGGGGTCCGGGCTCCCCTGGCGGTTCCTGCGGGGGGCAGTGGGCCCGCATGAGGCCTTCAGGGACAGAGGGATGTGTGTGGGCGCAGCCTGGGGACACATGGGCAGCGCTGCCCAGAAAGACGGTTGAGGAGACCAGACTCGTACCAAACTCTGCCCAGGGCGGCGGGGGGCTGGCGGTGTCGCGGGCAGGAACTGGCCTGGGAGAGCCTGGCTGCTCTGATCCCAGGCTGAGGCCCTCCTCCATTGCCCTCACCTGCCTCCTCTCTTGTCCCCTCCCTGCTTCCACTCCCTAAGACTTTTGAAGCCAAAATCCACCACCTGGAGACACGGCCAGCCGCTAGGCCTAGGAGCGGGGGCCCCCACCTGGAGTACTTCGTCCGCTGCGAGGTGCCCAGCGCCGACCGGGCCACCCTGCTCAGCTCCGTGCGCCGGGTGTCCGAGGACCTGCGAGGTGCCAAGGAGGACAAGGGTGAGGCTGGGCCCTCTGGCCATGGGTGGGACAGATGACCTTGGGACCAAGTGCAGAGGGCCCCAAGGGGACCACGTGGTGCCCCCCCACCCCGCTGCCTCCCAGCCCTCCCCCAGGCTCCTCCTGCCTGCCCTGCCCCCTCCAGGGAGCCTGGAGGAGGGTATGGGGCATCCCTGGCTCCACGCTCACTCCACCCGTTCCTTCCACCACCCCTCCCCCAAGTCCCCTGGTTCCCGAGGAAAGTCTCCGAACTGGACCAGTGCCACCACCTGGTCACCAAGTTTGACCCAGACCTGGACTTGGACCACCCGGTGAGCTGGCCTCCCCAGGTGTCCCGCTCCGACAGGGTGCCCAATGTCTGTGGGTGGCGCGGTGGGTGCAGACCCCAGCTGGCCCTCACTTCGTGGGGGCTGTCCATCCGTCTGCTGCCCTGCACACTGGCGGGATCACTGAGGTCATCTGAGGCATCCCTGTCTGCATCAGCAGCCAGGGGGCTGGGGGCCAGGAGGGGCAGGACAGGCCCTGACCCTGCCACCCCCCTCCCCCAGGGCTTCTCGGACCAGGCATACAGGCAGCGCAGGAAGCTAATCGCGGAGATAGCCTTCCAGTACCAGCAGTAAGGGCGCCCCCCTGGGGCCTCCAGCCCCCGCCCCCGGGACCCTGACTTGGTCCTGCACCCTTTGCAGCAGAAGGGAGGGGAGGAGGGCAAGGGGGGGTTGTTTGCATCACTTTGCCCATTGCCGCAGCCGTGGGGCCCCTCCAAGAACTTGGCACTTGTGGACCCGTCCACCTGATCACAGTCCGCCAGGGTGGGTGCTGGCATTCTCCCCAAGTCACAGCTGAGGAAACTGAGGCACAGAGAGGTCAGGCAACTTGCTGAGGCCACACAGCCAGTCCATGGCAAAGCTAGGCTATGGCCGGGCAGCGGCTCTGAGCTTGGCCTCCGACCCTCCCTGCCCCAAGGGGCCGAGGCCGATCACTTCCCCTCCCGCAGTGGTGAGCCGATTCCCCGCGTGGAGTACACAGCCGAGGAGATTGCCACCTGGTGAGACACGGGGGGCGGGGCACGGGGCTGGGCAGCAGGAGGGACTGGGGCTGGGTGCAGGAGGGACTTTCTGAGCCCCAGACTTCGGGCCTGGAAGGAAGAGTCTGCCCCTCTTGTCGGGTCAACCCCAGGGAGCCCAGGGGTGGCCCCCACAGCCCCCTGTCCCCTCGAGTCCCCCAAGCTGCCGGCAAAGGCCCTTGCAGTGGTAGGGGTCAGCAAGGGGCCTGCTGTGGGGTACAGACGGTGCGGGGGGCGGGGGAAACAGACGGGATGGGCCTGGCTCTGGGTGGGCCTGGGCGGGGCTGGGGTTTGCGTAGCCCACGGCTTGAGCCCCTCGCCCGCAGGAAGGAGGTCTACACGACCCTGAAGGGGCTCTATGCCACCCACGCCTGCCGTGAGCACCTGGAGGCCTTCGAGTTACTGGAGCGCTTCAGTGGCTACCGGGAAGACAACATCCCCCAGCTGGAGGATGTGTCCCGCTTCCTGAAGGGTGTGCCGGCCGAGGGGTGCTCACCACTGTGGCCCCCCACCTGCTCACTCCTTGCTTGGGCACCAGCCCGCCCCCGCCACCCCTGCCCTGTGACACCCCCGCCCTCGGTCCCTCCACTGTGTGCCACCCCCACCCTGTACCACCTGCTCTCTGTCACCCCATCCCGCACCACCTGTGCTCTGTGTCACCCCGTCCTGTGATGCCCCCAGCCTGACACCTCCACCCTATAACCCCTCCTCTGTGTGTTCCCCACCCCGTGACACCCCCAGCCCCACGTCACCCCCACCGTGTGCCACCCCCCGTCCCCAGTGCCCTGACTGCTGTGTGCGGCCTGTTGCAGAGCGGACGGGATTCCAGCTGCGGCCCGTGGCTGGCCTGCTGTCCGCCCGCGACTTCCTGGCCAGCCTGGCCTTCCGTGTGTTCCAGTGTACCCAGTACATCCGCCACGCGTCCTCGCCCATGCACTCCCCCGAGCCGTGAGTGCCCGCCTCGGCCCGCCCAGCCCCTGGGAACCTTAGGATGCTGCCTGTAGACAGGACGAGGGGTCGTGAGGCCCACATGTCTCCTGAGGCCCCGGTGCCCGGGTAGGGGGACAGCAAGAGGGTGGCACTGCCCTCCAGCCCTCCTCCCTCCCCACCCCTGCAGGGACTGCTGCCATGAGCTGCTGGGCCACGTGCCCATGCTGGCCGACAGGACATTCGCACAGTTCTCCCAGGTGCGTCCTGGGGTCAGCGGGTCAGCGGGGACGTGCGGGGGCTGACACGCAGTGAGGTGGGGCGCTGTCCCCAGCTTCTCCCAGCACCGAGTCCCCAGGTGACCTTAGGGCAATCTTGTCTCAGTCACTGGCCACTGTGACAGCCTCAGGCTGGGTTCCTGCAGCCTGTGCTGCCACCTGCTGGCGCTCTGTGGAACAGCAGGGTGCAGTGCCGGGCGGCTGGTTAGGGGGGATCTTGCACCCTGGGCTGGGGAGGCCCCTGGAGGGGGCTACTGACACCTCAACACCCCACTTCATACTTGCCCCAGCCATCGCCGTGTAAGCCTCCTCTTCCCTCCGCAGGACATCGGCCTGGCATCCCTGGGGGCGTCGGATGAGGAAATTGAGAAGCTATCCACGGTGGGTCCTGGCCCTTGAGTCGCCTTGGGGGTGGGGGTCATGACCCCAGCTCGGGCCGGCTCTGTGGGGCCAAGTCTGCGCATCTGTCCAGGGGAGAGAGTCCCTGGCAGCAGGACCCCTTGCTGGGTCCCTGAGTGGCCACGTCCAGGCCCCATGGGTGGCACCTGTGGCTGTCACTGACTGGGCCCCGTCCCCACAGCTATACTGGTTCACGGTGGAGTTCGGTCTGTGTAAGCAAAATGGCGAGGTGAAGGCCTACGGCGCCGGGCTGCTCTCCTCCTACGGGGAGCTCCTGGTGAGACGACGGGGAAGGGGACATGGGCCCCGGGGGTCCCGGCAGGGAGGGCCACTTAGCCTGGACCTCCTGGATTGGGACCTCCCTGGAGGAGGCTGTAGCCGTTAGAGGGAGCCAGCCACCCCTCAGGACTGAGGATGCTTGTCTCTGGGGCAGCATCCCACTGTTGCTCGGGCTATGGGGGGACCCTTCCAGGCAGAGGGGCTTGGGAGGTGGAGGTCCACACTGGAGCCCACCATCACCTGGCGTCAGGCCAGTACCCCGTTCTCAGCACGCCCCCACTCCCTCGGGCCCGGGATGACCGGCCTCCCCACAGCACTCCCTGTCTGACGAGCCTGAGGTCCGGGCCTTTGACCCAGAAGCGGCGGCCGTGCAGCCCTACCAGGACCAGACCTACCAGTCCGTCTACTTTGTGTCTGAGAGCTTCAGTGACGCCAAGGACAAGCTGAGGTAGGGGCCCCCACCAAGCCCCCAAAAGTGGAGACATTTCACAGATGGGGAGATCGACCCTCAGTTACAATACCCCTCACAGCAGCCACACCCTCCCTGAGCAGGACCCGGAGGAGTTTGGCGGCTGGGGGCCGCCGGGATCTGGGTGGCTGGTTAAGGTCAGGTCAAAGTGAGGTCAAAGCGAGGCTTCTAGGAGGAGGCAGGGTGCAGGCTCTAAGGACATGTGGGGTCCCTCCCAGCCTGCTGCCCCCTGGGCAGCTGGGGCCTGGGGGAAGCAGTGGTTGGGATAGTGGGGCTGTGGGTGGATGAGACAGGGGGAGGGGTGGTTGTGGGCCGGGTAGGGGGACCCTGGGGGTGGGTCGGAGAGGGGGAGAGGTGGTGAGGGCCCCATGGGGGGTGTGGGACAGGAATTCAGGGACTGTGTCTGGGGTGCAGTGACCAGCAGTGGCCGTAAGGGGAAGCACAGCCCGACCCAGCCCACCTGTTCCTGCTCTAGAGGGGCCTTCTCACTGTGTAGCCAAGCTCCTGTGGTGCATAGGGGAAACTGAGGCCCGGGAGCTGTGTGCCAGTGCTGAGAGGACTGCATCCATACATAGGCTCAGGGACAGGGATGTGCCTGGGGGCCCTTCAGGGGATAGTCAGGAGGGCTTCCTGGAGGAGGAGGGTTGGCTGTGCTGGGCCTTGGGGAGGTGCAGGATGGGGTAGGACTGGTCTATCTACCAAGCTCCCCACCCGCCCTTGGAGGAGGCCTCAGACCTGGCCTGGGTGGACCTCAGTCTCCCTGTCTGTGCCCGGGATGGTGGGCAAGATGCATTCTCAGATGAGTCCGGGGAGATCTGAGGCCTGCTCTGGCTGTCCTGGGCCCTTCCTGGTGACCAAGGCCATCCCGACCCCCTCCCCAGGAGCTATGCTGCACGCATCCAGCGCCCGTTCTCCGTGAGGTTTGACCCATACACGCTGGCCATCGAGGTGCTGGACAGCCCCCGCTCCATCCGGCGCTCACTGGAGGCCGTCCAGGATGACCTGCAGGCCCTCGGCCACGCACTGAGCGTCATCGGCTAGGTGCAGGGGTGCAGGGGCTCAGCCCCCAACCCCGCCAGCCTGCCTGCCCTGCCCTGCCCTGGCACAGACCTGTGTGAGGGGCTGGTCTCGGGCACCCCTGCTGGTCTGCACTTGCCCGCTTCCTAGCTCTGTCCAGATGTGTGTGGTCCTGTCTGTGCTGCTATTCATGGGCTCCAGGTGGCGGGTACCGCTCAGCTGTGTGTGCCCCTGACCCTGGGGCCACCCCGCCTTGTGTGCCCCTAACTCTGGGGCCACCCTGCCTTGTGTGCCCCGTGACCCTGGAGCTGCCCCTTGCAATCTCAATAAAAGTCAGAAACTGCTCTCCGTCTGTCTGCTTGGGGCTGTCTCGGTCCGGCAGGGGCCCCGGGGTCTGCCTTGGGTTCATGGCCAGCACGGCCCTAGCCAACCTCCTCAGCAGTCTCCCCTCTGCCTCCTCCCTCCTTGGGGACGGGCCCCGTTCTGACTTCCTGTGTGGGGAGCCCTCCACCCCCCTGGCCTGATTCCCTGCTTAGGTCAGAGGACCCGGCCTGCTTGGACCCTTAGTGGCTCTGCAGGGCTTGGCGGGCATGAGCTGGGCTCCCTGTCTCTGTGGGGGCAGCAGCGACAGGTAGAGGCCGGCTGACCGGGAGCCCTGGGTCCAAGGGTGGGGGCAGGGTCAGGCTGTGCTGATGGGGGCGGCAGTGGTCTCTGGGGAAGGGCTATGGCCACGCCCCATCTCCCTGCGCCCAGGGTCCCCAGTAGGAAGAGACCAGGGCGCCAGGCCTCCGGAGCATCAGAGGAACAGGGGTGGAGGGGAGGGAAAGGGCAGCCTGTCCTTCTGCATGGCTGCCTTGGGCCTCCTCATCACCCCACTCAAGGGGCCTGGCCGGGGGCAGGACTTGGGTGCTGAGAGGGGCCTGTACGTGCTTCCCAAAATGTGTGCTGAAGCATGCAAAGACGTCAGCTATGTTGGGCCCTGGGCGACCCATCGAGCCTCAGTCTCTCTAGCAAGGCAGTGGGGACTGGATTGTGGGGTCTGCAGGACGCCCCCAGCACCCCCCAGTGTCCTGAGCATCACCCCCAGCCCTGCCAGGCAGGCCCCAGCCTGGGTGCCCACCTGCCACACCTGTCTCCTCCGGCCCTTGGAGAGAGCAGCTTCTGGACTTTCTGTGAGGTGCCCCTTCTTCTGGCCTGCGGGGTGAAGCTGAGACCCTTCCCGGGGGTCTCCAGCCACACCCTGCCAGGCTCCTGGCTCCAAGTCATTGCGATGTCCATCCTAGCAAACTCCTATTCATCCATCAAAACGTTCTTGGGCAGAGCATCCCTTCCCCAGCCCTCACTGGCTGTCTGTCCTTCCATCAAGTACCTTGTCCATACCCAGCCCTTTGTCCCTTCAGTCCAGAGGGTCCTAACTGTGGCCATTTCTGAAGGGCTGTGACCCCCATCAAGACCGTGGGGATAGGCTAAGCCAGCTGCCTGAGGCTGACGGCTTACCCCATCTCCCTCCCACGCCGGCTGTGCCCCTTGGTCCCACCTTCCCACCTGGATGCCCCCCACCCTTCTTGCACAGCCCACTCAAGGAGGCACCCACATCTTCCCTGGCTGGAGGGGGCAGGAGAACCGTGGTGGCTCCAGGTGGCCACCGCACATGAAGGGGCAGCAGGGAGAGCAGTGGGGGTGCCCCCTCCACAGAGCCCGCGAGCTGTGGGCCTGGCCACGAAGTCACAGCCCCAGGAGGCAGGCCCAGGAGCCCAGCTGGGGATCCATGCTGATGGGCTGGGGAGAAGAGAGCTGTGCGAGGTAGGGGCAGCAGGCACAGAGGGGCCGGGGCTCAGGATATCCCCAAGCTCCCTTCAGATCCCCTGGGTGGGGCAGGAGCAGGACTCCGCCTACCCCTGGGCAGAACAGGCTGGAACGTTCCAGCTGCTCTCTGGGGCCCTGGCTCTGGGGCTGAGGAAGGGGTTGGAGGCAGAGGAGGCAGGGGCTGTGCTGGGAGTCTGTTGTCACCCACAGGGTGGGGAGCCTGTCAGGGGGGCCCATCCAGGGGTGGGAGAAGGGGTCACATGGCCAGTGTGGGGGGCTCATGAAAGAGTTGTAGGTCAAAGGGCACCTGGTCCACAGAGTCCTGATGGCGGCCACACGGAGGGGGGCCTACCACCCCACTTTAAAGATGACAAACGGGGGCCAAGAGAGGCGGGGTAGGCCTGTGGGAGCCCCACGGCCGCCTTGTCTCCCAGCCTGGGGTCACAGCTGGGGCTGCTGTCCTGGGGTGGGGTGGGGTGGGGGCACCTCACCTCCCTCCCCCGTGGCCATGAGATGGGATGCTGTGGTCTGTCCATGGGGCCACTGCGGGTCTTGGGGGCTGGAACCGCAGGGGCAGGGTCTCCCCCCTCAGCTGCCCCCGCTGCCCTCCCCCAGCCCCAGCTCTCCAGACTGACCTGGAAACGCGGTGGGGGCCGGGTGGGGGTCTGTTCTGCTGAGGCGTTGTCCCCCGCTGGGACAGGGACAGCTCTGTCATCAAGTCCCTCGTTAGGGCGTTAATGACCCTATGGCCGAGAGGTGCTGACGACCAGGGACGTGCCGGGAGGTCCAGCTCTGCGGAAATGATCCAGAAAGTGCCACCTCAGCCCCCCGCCGGCCATCTGCCGCCCCCGCCCCCGAAGCCCTAATGGGCAGGGTGGCAGGCTGGGGGCCGGGAAGGTGGGCTCGGGGGGCTATAAAGCCAGCGGGCCCGGCAGCCCCCAGCCATCCAGACCACTGCACCTGGGGCCATCAGCAAGCAGGTCTGTGTGGGTGCTAGACCCCAGGCTGGCCTTTTGCAAGGGGGCAGGGGGCCAGGGCTTCTCTCCTGGGGACTCTGGGGCTAAGTACTGGGGGTCCTGGGGAGGGGTACGAGCCCCCAGCCAGCTTCAACCCGGCCTGTTCCCAGGTCACCACCCTCGCCATGGCCCTGTGGACACGCCTCCTGCCGCTTCTGGCTCTGCTGGCCGTAGGAGCACCGCCCCCTGCCAGGGCCTTCGTCAACCAGCACCTGTGTGGCTCCCACCTGGTGGAGGCACTGTACCTGGTGTGCGGGGAGCGGGGCTTCTTCTACACCCCCAAGACCCGCCGGGAGCTGGAAGACCCGCAAGGTGAGCCTTCTCCCCGGCAAGGGCCGAGGGGGGTTCACTGGCGGCTGGCCCCGGCGGGGAGTCAGGTGGGCTTTTCACAAAGAAAACCAAGTTCCCTTGCGATGCCTACAAGCCGCTGAGCTGGAGGCCTAGGGGAGGACAGCGTCAGGGGCTGAGGCCTCGCAGCCCAGAGCCGGCGGGACCCCCAGAACCCGGCCGCCCTCCCCACCTACAGGCTGTCCCTGCAGGCAGTGGCCCAAACCAGTGCCCCCATTCTGCTCCCCTCCTAGGACAGCAGCAGCTTCGGGGAGGGGTGGTATTGTGGAACCAAGTCCCGGCGGGCTGGGGTCTTCTGTGACGTGGCAGGGGTGGCGGATGCCAGGGATCTCTAGGGAACGAGGCAAGCACAAGGCCGCTGGGCCTTTTAGTCAAGGCCGCTCTGGGTCTCGGTGGGGAAACCCCGGCGGCACAGTGGTTAAGTGTATGGCTGCTAACCAAAAGGTCGGCGGTTCAAATCCACCAGGCGCTCCTTGGAAACACTATGGGGCAGTTCTACTCTGTCCTATAGGGTCACTATGAGTCTTGATGGCAACGAGGTTTTCGGTGGTGTCTCTGTGGGAGGGGCCTGTCCCAGGGGTGCCTGGTGGGCTGGGAGATCAGGGCTGAGAGGAGCAGCCCAGGTGTGTGGGGTGCCCAGGTGTGTGGGGTGCAGCTGTGGCATTGTCCTGGGGTTTGGGGGCAGCAGCGTGTGTGGACTTTGGATCCCCCGGCCTCCGTGCCCACCCCTGGGGCGACCCCGCATGCCCTGAGCACAGCGGAGCAGGTGGGAGAGTGGGGGGCAGAGAGAATGACTGGCCCCATTCTCCCAGGGCGGTGCCGTGGGGTATGGGGGTGGTGGGGTGCCGCCCCCTCTGACTGTATCCCTGTGTCTCTCCCTGTGCACCCACAGTGGGGAAGGTGGAGCCGGGCGCAGGCGGCCGGCAGCCCTTCCCCGCCGAGGTGCCCAGGGAGAAGCGTGGCATCGTGGAGCAATGCTGCACTGGAGTCTGCTCGCTCTACCAGCTGGAGAACTACTGTAACTAGGGGGGCCCGGCCCGCCCGGCCTCCCGCACCCCAGTGACCGAATAAACCCCCTGAATGAGCTCTGCGGTGTCTGTTGTCTGTGTGGCTCGGGTGTGGGATGGCCGGCCGGGCGGGGTGGGGCGGGGTGCACAGGGACACCCGGGCGGGACCCCTTCACGCCATCACTCTGCAATCCCAGCGTCCTGGACCCCCGGCGGCGGGCTCAGCTCGGCTGCCCGCTTCCCCGCCCTGCCTCAAGCCCTCAGAGAAGCCCTGTCGGTGTCCCTGGAAGGTGGGGGTGGGGGGTGGGCCTGCCGGGAGCTACATTCCTTGCTCCACAGCTCCGCGCTGTCACAGCTCCCAGAGAACCGATCGAGGAAAGAGAGAGAACATTCCGGAGCTGCCTCCCCACCTAGCCCGACGGGCTCTATTTTTGGGCTATTTGTGACTGAGTCCTCCTGAGCTGGGGGAAGACTGTCCTGCTGGGGAGGGGGATGGACAAGGGGCCCAGAGATGCCCCACCCTGACCCTTCCTCAGTGCCACTATCCCCAGCTCTTGGCAGGTCGGGGGTGGCTACAGCCCCCAGCCCAGACCTGGCCAGAGGCCCCGAGGGTCCAGTTAGTGCCCTGGAGGAAAGGGGGTGGGCCCGGTGGCCCCCACGAGCCGAGGGACGGACTTCGGACCACCGTGGCACTGAGCAGAGGCTTCAGAATCAGTGCAGCTGCAGGGCTGGGGGGTCGCAGGGCCCCAGAGCCAGGGCCAGGGCCAGGGGCTCCCCACCTCCCTGCAGACCCGGACGCCAGGCCCACCTGCCCAGACTGCTTTAGCCACAAAGGGATGGCTGCCTCAACAGTGCCCAATTGCCCCGACCGAGCACAAGGCTACACTGGGTTCAGGTCTTCCGGGGGGCCTGATGGAGCCTGGGTACCCTGGCCCTCCAGCCTCCTTCCAGCACCCACAGCAGCCAAGGCTGGCTCCACTGGGCACCCAGCCCAGGCCGAGGCTGGGTGGCAGAGGTGAGGCCGGGGGCTGGCCGGGCTAGTTGGGCCTGGAGGTCAACAGGTGACCCTGGCTGCCCCGAGTCCTGGCCAGTTCTCCAGCCAGCTGGGCCAAACCAATCTGCACCTCTCCTGAAAGCTCCACCTGGCCGTGCGGGGCAGGAGGCCAGGGCTGGGCACCTGGGCCCAGGTGGCCGCGGGCACATGGAGGCTGCCCTAGATGGGAACAGAGCCCTCCCAGTACCCCCTCGGCTGCCCTGGACCCCATCCCAGCAGGAGGTGTCACAGGCCCCTGGCAAGCCCCGCCCCTGGAGTGGGTCAGGGCTCAGCAGTCAGAGGACGAGAGACAGCGGACGCTGGACCCGGAAGAGGAGGGGAGAGGTGGCTGGATCCGAAGCAGACCGGCAGGGGAGCCCAGGCTGCCTGTCGGCTCAGTGGAGGAACAGGTGTCCCGCCGGGGCTGAGGTACGTGTACGTGGCCCAGCTGGGGACCGGGAGCCAGCCGGCCGGCCGTGCAGCCCTCAGGGACAGTTGGCAAAGCAGGTCCTGCCTGGCTGGAAGACCCTGGCGGAGGACCGGGGGCAGCTCCTCCCTCTCAGGTGCCAACAATCTCAGAGGCTGTGGGGGCTGGGGGACCTGAGGCCTTCGGGGTCCATCCCAGGCCTGTAGGTTCTGAGTGGGGCTGTGGACACGTGAGTGTCCCCAGAAGAGCCTGGCTTTCTGGGACTTCAGCACCTCCTTCCTGGGGGGCCTTTGGCTTGAAGTGGAGGGGGTGGTGTCTGTGCCAACCTGAAAAAGACGAGGCCAGGCCGTGCCCCCACTGTGGTGCATGACTGCCTTCTGTCCCCCACTGCCGCCGTGAGACCTGTCCCAGCCCTGGTCCCCAGGACTCGCGTTCAGAGTCTCCCCCTTGAAAAGGTGCCACAGACAGCCTCCTGGGTGTGGGGGTCAGGGACTCGGGGGGAGTGGGTGGTCTCTCCATCCCTGTCACACGGACGATGTCGTGGGGCCAGAGACAAGGGGCAGCCCAAGGTCACCAGGCAAAGGATGGAGGAGACAGGTCAGATTGAAGCTCCTGACCACACTGCCCTGGGCACTGACCCCAGAAGCCCAGGGGCTGCCGTCCAGGGCCTGAGGGGGCAGGGCCCGATGCTGGTGTCACTCAAGAGCAGCAGGAAGTGAGGGCGACTCCCAGAGCCCCCAGGGCCACCCCACCCACCTGCCAGCCATGCCCCGCCCCGCCCCACCCCTTCCGGGAATTGGGAGGACAGACCCTGCCTCCCTCGCAACCTGGCTGCCCCTGACCTGTGGCCACACTCCTTGGAAACCCTATGGGGAAATTCTACTCTGTCCTATAGGGTCAGTATGAGTTGTGATCAACTCGACAGCAATGGGCTTAAAAGCTTTATAAGAAGCCCTGGTATCACAGAGGTTAACTGCTTGGTTGCTAACTGAAAGGTCTGCAGCTGGAACCCACCAGTCAATGCGGCAGTCTGCTTCTGTAGCGGATTACAGCTTTGGAAACCCTAGGGGGCTGCTCTACTCTGTCCTGTAGGGTTGCTATGAGCCAGAATCGATTCAATGGCACACAGCAACAAGAGTTTTACATGTGGTATCTTATTTAATCCTCACAACAACCCCATGAACTGAGCATGTCTGAGCCTGGCGCTGAGGAAGGTCTCAGTCCTCCCTAAGACCGCCGACCCTGCCCGCCCCTCACAGACGTGGACAACCCCCGGTGAGGTCTTGGGGGCCAGGCTCTGGGGGACGCTGTCCAGGTGTAGCCATCTGGCCCTGCACATGTCCTTGCATCTGTCTGCTCATCCCGCAAGTGTGTGGGGGTGAAGCCTGCCCCTGCCCCAGCCTTAGGAGGTTCTGCCGGTGGGCACAGCTGCCTCCAGGCAGGCCTCCTGGGTTGCGTCTGTCCTCGAGCTGGCATTATGGGCTGGCACTTCCACCTGGCCCTTGGCACTATTTATTTGCCGTCTCAGTGACGGTATCAGCAGTAAATATTGACCTTCCTCGCTGGCCTCCAGGCCTGAACAGACCAAGAGGGGCATGGGAGGTGGAGGTAGGGGTGCTGAGGGCCGCCCTGCCTGAGGGCTCTGTGCTCGGCAGGGACCCAGGCCCAGGGGACTGCCTCCCACCTGCCCCGTACAGGTAGCCCCTAAGCAGGGCTCCTGGAGAGGTGGCTGGCAGTGCACAAGGCATGTCTGTCTCTGGCCACGCTGAGGGGAGGCAGGGCTGTGGACACCGGGAGCAGCCCTTGGGGCCCCCATAGGGGCGCCCCCTCCCCAGCAGCGGCTTTGCTTGGGTGGGCATCTGTAGTGGGCCAGGCTGCAGGCAGGGGGTGGTCATTTGCAGATGTGCCGGCAGAGGGCTCCAAAGCCTCACTTTTGATGCTCTCTTTCTTTCCCCCACCCCCATCCCCACCTGAGCTGAGTTAGTCTGCAAGCTGGACCTCCCTGTGGGGGTCCGCTGTCCAGGAGGGCCCAGGGCACTGCCCCAGGCCTGGTCATGTGTTTCCAAAAGCAGGCACTGGGAGGGCTGTGGGGGTACCCGGGTGAGGGGCCATCCTGGTCTCCCGAGGGTGTGAGGTTTGGGACGAAGAGAAGAGTTGGTGATACGGGGGCCCCAGGCTGCCTCTGCCCCAGGCTTCTAGACCTGGAGGCTCAGAGAGGCAGTTGGGCAATCCCGGGCTCTCTAGCCTTCTGTGAAAGTCTCCAGCGAGTCTGGCCCCCAGCCCGTAGAACCACAGAGATCTGGTGCTGGAGATGCTTTAGGGGAGACTTCACCCCAACTGCCTGTTACCGATGAGCAAACCGAGGCCCAATCACCCTGGCCCTTCCCTGGCCCTTGCCCAGCTGGCCCTTTGCATAGGATATCCAGGGCGTGAGGGACACTGAGGCTGGGGGCCACTGCGCCTGGAAGGCCAAGTCCTTGTTCTCAGCGTGAGGTGGGGGCTTCGGGGGCAGGAGAGCCCAGGCTCAGGAGGTGCCCCGCTGGGCCCAGCTGAGTGAGTTTGCTGTTTCCCTTCTGTGCCCCATCCCTCCATCCCAGAGCTGAGTGGGGAGAGGCCAGTCGCAGGAAGAACGTTGAGGGGTAGGGGTGGGTCTTGGTCTGGGAACTGTTGACAGTGAGCACCCCTTCCTTCCCTTCCCCCCTCGCCCCTCCCCCCTTGGAACCATTGTTTCTGGCCCGAGCCCAGCACAGGGACAGCAGGGCAGATTCCTTGGAAAGAGGACGAGATGGCCCGAGGGCCCTCCCTAGCCACCCCCACTGCGGGGAGCAGTCAGCCCAGCCTCCCAGGGCCTCCTTGGGCCCTGCCGGCACCCAGCACGTGCTGCCCACCCCCACCTCCTCCTTGGGGTTTTCGGCTTACTTCTCTGCTCCTGAGGTGCCCGCAAGCTCCCACCCCTCAGCTCAGACCCCCTACTTCCTGCCCACCTGCTGGGGGCAGGTGACCCTGTCTCTGACCTCACAGACCCTGAGACAGTCTCTGAGGCACCCAGGGGGTGGGGGGGCCCCTGAAGCCTACCCCTGAGGGCTCGCTTGTCCCCACACAGGGCACTGGGTGAGGACGGAGTTCTGGGGGGCACCAGGAGCCCAGGCCCAGGGTGTCCACAGGCTGGCCAGGGCTTAGGGTCCCTCGGTCCCAGGGTGGGGTGGGAGTCTGCCTCCTTGTCCCCTCCCCACAAACACCTAAAAGTCTAGACCCAGGGACCCCTGGGGCCAAGGTTGCAGGGCCCTGGGGGCTGAGCCCCTGGCCACCACCCCCAGATCCCCTGTGACTGGGGAAGGGTCTCTGCTCTTAGATCAAGCTGGACCCCCCCGGCCATTCCTGCCCCAGCTTTTTGGCCGCTGACTCAGCAGAACCTCTGGGGGTGGGGGGTCAAGGCCAAAGGCAGCCCTACATTCCTCTGCTCCGACCCCCTTCCCGGCCCATCTGTGTTTTTGGAAAACAGCTGGCGCCCCCACGCTGTGAGTCGAAGCACGCTTTTCTTCTTCAAAGTCCAGCCTCC